ACAATAAAGCAGCTGCTCGAAAGACCATACATGGCCGACAGAATATTGAAATGGTCCCTTAGAGATCTCCAAATTCGATATCCAATACGAGAGCAGGAATCCCTCAAGAATCAAGCCTTGGCCGACCTCATGTCCGAAATGACCTCGCCCACAGACCTCGACGGGTCACGCCACTGGACGATCTTTGTCGATGGCGCCTCCAGTTCCATAGGAAGCGACGCTGGTATCATATTGGAAAATGAAGAAGGAACCCTGATTGAAGTCTCCCTCGCATTATCTTTCCTGACCTCTAATAATCAGGCCAAATACAAGGCATTCCTAGAAGGTTCACGACTGGCCAAAGATTTGGGAGCCGAGGAAGTGAAGATCTTCACCGATTCCCAACTGGTCGCATCTCAAGTCTGAGGGGAATATCAGGTCAAAAATGACCAACTCGCTGAATACTGGACCCTGGTCCAGGAGAGGAAAAAGAAATTCAAATTTGTGGACGTGCAACACATTCCCCGCGAGCATAAAACCCGCGTAGATATCCTATCCAAGCTGGCAAGCATGAAGATGAAAGGGGGGAATAAGTCGGTAATACAGGAAATCCTTCCTCGACCGAGCACCCAAAAACCGCCCTCCACCTTAGAAGTGTTGCCATCGGGGACAACGACTGTTGGATGACCCCCGTACACGATTACCTCACTAAGGGAAACTCCCCGACGACTCGAAGGAAGCGGCCGTTGTCAGACAAAGAGCTTTCTCGTACGTCTTGGCCAAGGGAATGCTATACAGGAGAAGATTTTCCATCCCCCTTCTCAAGTGTGTCGACCGAAGTGGTGCAAATCATATCTTCCTCGATATACACAAAGGTATTAGCGGCCAACACCTGGGCGGAAGATCCCTCGCAAGAAAAGCTTTGTGAGCAGGGTATATTGGCCCACCATGCAGCACAACGCGAAAGAGCACGTGAAAAAAAGTGACAAATGCCAATGACACGGATACATGCATTTAGCTCCTCCCTACGAGATCAAATCCTCACTTCTCCTTGGCCTTTCACCTGGTGGAGATTAGACCTCCTCTGTCCATTCGTGGTCAGAACCAATAAAAACAAATATCTGATCGTGGCAGACGACTACTTCACCAAATGGATAGAAGTCTAAGCTTTGGCTAAAATTCCAGCCCAAAATGTCCTTCACTTTTACAAAAGATCCATCCTCGCTCAGTTCGGCATCCCACAAGAGATAGTCACTGGCAATAGGACTCAATTCACAGACCACGCTTTTCAAGAATTCGTCGCCAAACTAGGAACCACCCAACACTTTGCCTCTGTCGAGCATCCCTAGATGAATGGCCAAGCCGAATCTTTAAATATATTAATAATCAGGGGCCTCAAGCAAAGGTTAGACGAAACCAAGAAAAGATGGGTCGAGGAGTTATACATCATACTCTGGGGATACCGAACAACTGCACATTTGTCAAATAGGGAGACCCCTTTCTGACTAGTTTACAGGACGAAGGCCGTCATCCCCGTGGAGATCGACGTCACCCTTCCAGAAGAACTAGATCTGGTAGAAGAAATCAGAACAGGAGAGGCCCTACGAGAGGCCCTGCTCAAACAAAAAATATCCATGCACTATGATTCCAAGGTCATACGATGAGAGTTCGAGGTCGGCGGCCTTGTCTTAATGAGAAATCACAAAGAATCTCGCGAGGGAAAACTCGCAGAAAACTGGGAAAGCCCTTATCGCATCTACGCGAAAATGGGGACCAGGCATATTACTTGAAAAACTTACAAGGGGAACAACTCATTTGATCACGGAACACTGAAAAGATGAAGTAATATTATAGTTAAAAACACTAAGAAGTCGGTGAGTTTTTTTGATAAGATGCACTCACGCAGGCCCGACCACGCGTGCATGCCTAGGTACAAGCATAACGCCCAAAATATTATGAAGGGGCGAAGTTCCGCTCTTATAACGAGCGCATCCTCAGCCTGACATGGATAACTCAACTAAGCTCCATCGCCTTTGTACCACAATGGTAGAACGCCCGAATCGCGACAGGAAGTTCATGCCGCTGAGCTTAGGTCTCGAAATGAAGCCTGAGTTTCGGCCCACCGGCCGGTATTCACCCTGGCCGTTTGTCCAGTTTCCCCACACTGGCAAACATACAAACTAAAGAGCAAATACCTGCTACAAACTCTTAACAAAATAAAAGATGTCCCAAGCGGACAAGCACAACAGCGAAACATGCAAACACAAATTAAATATTTAGAACAATGACTATCAAGGTCGCGATTGTACGAATGTTACAATAACAGAGGCCCTTGGTGCCCCATCCAAAAGAATAAATTAGTGGCCACAGAGACCACACTTGTTCGGTAATTACATAAAATGGACGAGAGCCCAAAGAAGAATAAATAGAAAAGTACGACACACAGGTCAGAACCAATCAAAACTGAATATCACCCTTCAACCTCTTCTTTGACAACAGGCAATAGCTGGGCAGTACCCCCAGCAGGTTGAGCAACAAACTCTTCAAGATAATTGGGGACCAGAATCCTGCCATCGGCCACATAATAGTTGACCCCATACCTAAGGTATTGAGTTTGACCCCAGGGTTCATCACCTGCATATGCTTCACCACATTCTCGAAACTCCCCTCAGAGGCAGCCTGGGCATCGTCCACCGCCAGTTGAAAATGAGCAACAAGTTTGGCCCGAGTATTTAGATCTTTTGTGTCCTTCAACTCATCTTCAGCAGGGGTAACCTCGGCAGTCATGACCGCCACCTTCTCCTCAAGAGCTTTCTTCTCGAGCAACAAGATCTTGCGTTCCTCAAAGAGTCTCCCTGATTCATCCTTGGATAGCCTCCGGGCCCTTTCCTCCTCGAGAACTTTCTTCTCACTCACGGCCAACTTAGCCCAAAGGTTCTTCAACTCTGTGCGAAGAACTCCCCTCGGTATAAGAAACGACCATCTCCAAGATCCTCATCAAACCTCTGACATCCTGCACCAGCATCGCCCTCTTCTCCGGGTGGTCCAAACCCTCGAGATAAAGGGATTCAACCCGAGGAATACGGAGAGCCGCACCCTCAAAGAAGATTTTCTCCAGCCAGCAGGGAAGCAGGTCGTGCGTCCCTTTCCCCCTATCCCCTGTCAGATCGATACTTTCCTAGGCATGTGGCCTCTTGGCCTTTGAGGACACAGGACCGGAAGAACAAGCAACTGTAGCCTGGCCCGAGGATGAATTGCCCGATCCTGAGGTAGGGGTAACCCCCGAGCTAGTCTGGGCATCCTTCAAAGCCTTCTTTTCCATGGCAGCGAGGGTCCTGGCTATACGCTCCTGAGCAGGATTCATGCTATCTACAAAAAAATCACACTTAGAGAACGAGGACTCAAAAGAGCGATGACCGCATATAACTACTCAAAACATAAATACCCAGATATTTGACGGGGTCCTCACTATGAAGGAGTTCCTTAACAACTATGAGTCTCAGCTCATATACATCCTCCCTATTCTTATCAATCACTGGCTTGCCTCCCCGGCCCACTCGCTGGACTCGAGGGATCCGGGCCACGAAGGCAGTTAAGACGGAGAAGCTCTCCTGGTCCTCAACACCGAGCTCCCCTCCCTCCAAACATAGGAGCCCAACTTATTGTCAAAATGTTTCCTCGTCC